TACACAGTAGTAGATACCCAACTAGGACTGTGTGTGTGTGTGTGTGTGTGTGTGTGTGTGTGTGTGTGTGTGTGTTTCGGGGAGGGGATAGTGTGCTGGTGGGGTGGGAATACACATATGCCATGGTGTGCATGTGGAGGCTGAGGATAACTTTGTGGAGTTGGTTCTCTCCATCCTCTCCATCTTTATGTGGGTCCCAGAGGTTGAACTCAGTTTACTGGTCCTCTTTTTGCCATTTTTTAAAATAAAATATATTTTGGGTTTTTTTTTTCTTTTTCCTTTTGAGATTCTTACCATGTAGCCTTTGCTGCCCTGGAACTTGCTAGGTGGACCAGGCTGGCTTATGCTTCCCAAAATTTCTACCTCTGTGCTGAAATTCCTTATTTAGTCACACATGTTGTCTGTTTTTTTTTTGCTTTTAAAATTGTTTTTAAACTCCCTGTGGAGCACAGCCTCCATGGTTGCCGTCCTCTGCCATGTCCAGTGTACATGGTACTGGAGATTAAAGTCAGGGCCTCGTGTATGACAGGCACACACTTCACCACCTAACCTGTGTCTGGAGCCCCTTTCACCACTGTTCTTTTAGAATAAGGTTGGGTTGGGTCCTCGTTGGTCGCCACTCCACTTGCCCTCTGCTAGGGACTGATCCAAGGCGGTTCGGGTCTGCACCCTGTGCTGCAAACACATGAATCTTTTCCTTAAACTTACGCTTCAGATCTGTACGTTGTATTTTGTTTGTTGATGACTTTGCCCTTGATACTGGGGTCCCAGTCTCCTACCTTCTATTCTTTCCTGTGCCTCATACTTATTAGTTGAAAAAATTGTGGAGTAGTCAAGAAACTTAAGAGTAAATTAAATGGTAGTTATCTTTGAAGTAGCACCTTTTCCTTCTGCTACACTTACAGTGTAGTGCTATGTAATCAGTCTAGTCAGGAGTTGAGTTAGGTCTGTGTACCTGGAGCCTTTTCTTTGTCCCACTTGGTCCCGTAGCAGCTTATAAAATAATCATTCAGAGGCTTAATACTAATTACAAACTAGCCTATGGCTCAGTCTTATTATTAGCTAGTTCTTACATCTTAAATTAACTTATTTCTATTAATCTTATGTATTGCCATGTGGCCAGTGGCTTAGGTACTTTCACATCATTCTTCTTAGGCAACTAGCCGGCGTGTCCCTGACTCCACCCTCTTCTTCCTGTCTCTCTGTTTGGATTTCCTGCCTTGCTATAGACCAGAGCAGCTTCTTTATTAACCAGTGGTAATAAAACATATTCACAGCATATGGAAAGATATCCTACAGCATTTCCCCTTTTTTGTCTGATCAAAAAGGAAGGTTTTAACTTTAACATAGTAAAATTACATATAACAAAACAGTTACAAGCAAGAATTACAGTTATGGCTGGGCATGGTGGCACACACCTTTAATCCCAGCACTTGAGAGGCAGAGGCAAATGAATCTCTGTTAGTTTGAGGCCAGCCTGGTCTATGGAGTGAGTTCCAGGATAGCCTCCAAAGCTACACAGAGAAACCTTGTCATGAAAAAACCAACAACAACAAATAAATAAGAAAGAAAGAAAGAAAAAGGAAAAGAATTACAGTTACAATGTTTAGTCTATTTGTATTTGACAAAATTAGAGAAAAACATTCAATTGTCTATCTTACCTTGGTGAATCTAAAGTTTTATATCTAATTTACCTCTTATCATAACTAAGCAAAATTATAACTATCTAGTCTTTTAATTTCATCAAAGACCTGAGAAAGGAAATTATATTACCCGAGTAAGCAAGAAGTACAAGCAAGTGACTTCTGAAAAATGCAAGAAATCATAGAAACAACTGGCTACCTGGACAGTCACCCAGTGTTTCTCTGTAGCGTTGGGGCATCCATTTTTGGTCATTGGCCTAGAATATCTGACAGACCATTTTCAGAATCAGGAAAATTTGAAAGGCTGTCCTACCCTGTCTTGGCAAGGTTCAGCAGTCACTTTTCCTGTGTCCTGCTCGTCCAGCAGGCAAGAGCAGATCTTTGCCCAATAGGCCATTTATATCAAGAAGAAAACAAACTTCATATATAGTGAATTTGATGTCCAAAATCCTCTTGGGAGTAGATTGGTGCTGTCAGGAGCAATTGTGTCTCATGTCAACAGAATTCTAAGTTATTAAAACATTTACATGTCACATTCTCTAAGTCCTTGAAGTGTTTGAAGATTACCTATCCATCTGAGATATATCTCTGTTTATCTAGAAAACCTAACTAATATGACCATGAGTTTGACAAGCATGGGTGACTATTAACCTGTAATTTTTATCAACCTATGTAGCTTAAAGACTAAAGCTTCATATTATAAAGTAAACAGTCTCTAAACAGATGTACAGCCTAAGGACAGTGACCTCGAAATTGTGACATATTCAAAAATATCTTAATTGGGTAGAAATGTATAGTGCAATATGACAGAATATCCTTAATTTGTATCAATATACAAAATATCCTAAACATAAGTAGAACATACACACATTGTGACAAATATAATTTTACATTTGTATCAATATACAAAAATATTTTAATCAGAAGTAGGAACATATGTACTATATGACAAGTATAGTTTTGACTTTGTATCAATATACAAATTAAACAGGAATAGAAAAATAATTTTACATTTGTAACAATATATAAAAATCTATACTAATGTAAATTATCTAAAACTGATAGTTGCTAATTTAGTTTACAAGTAGATACAATAATCTACCTTATTATCTTATCCTATCTATCCTCCTTTTTTCTTTAGAAAGAGATTGACTATGACCATTAACCATTTATAACCAACCCCCTTTAAATGAAAATAAATATTTATAAACAATATTTTGGGAATTGGCATAGTTTTGTTTTTTTTTTTTTATATAGTACTTCCTGCTAATTGGGGGCCTTCTGATTGGGGGCCCGGCTAGCTCAGTTGGGCTTCTTAATTCAGGGTCGTAGGTTCACGCCACAGCAGGTCTGTGTGTTGCAGTTGCTATGGTTGCTGTTGGTTTCTATTTGCTTCTGGTTCTTCTGGGTTAGTTTGATAGGGGGTTTTCTTCAGTATTTCTGATCAACCCTCTGCTTTCGTCCTTCCCTATTTCCTGTAAAACCCTCTTTCCTATGCTCTTGTTCTTGGTAGCCTGATTGTGAGGTGTGGGACCCGTCTCCTAAATTTTCTGGCCCAGATTCAGTCTTTGGAGGCTCTTTGCCCAAAGCCTTCGGGTGAGGCTTTATCAGAGACAACCCCTCACCTGGATAGCTTGGGTTGAGGATGGTTTTCTGTTTCATTCTGAGGTAGACAGCTCCTTCCCTCCACTACAGTTTATTTACTTGTGCCCTAGGCATTGCGTACTGGATGTTCTTCACTCAGTATTCAAGTGAAGCTGTTCTTTTCTAGAAGACAAGGGCACTGAAAGCATTGATGCCTTTGCTGCATAGGCTGTGCTCTTCCCCAAGACCTCCACCAGCTGCAGTGGGTCTTAATTATAGAGTGATCTTGTGTGGGTGAAACTGGAGTCTGAGAGCGGGTCTGAACTTTCCTGTGCTTCTCGATATTGAAGAGTTTTCTCGCTAAGGGCTGGAGACATGGCTCATCAGTTAAGAACTGCTCTTCCAGAGGACACAGGGTCAGTTCCCAGCACTCATATGTTGGCTCACAACCTTCTATAACTCCATTTCCAAGGGGATCTAACACTCTCTTCTGGTCTCCATAGACACTGCATGTATGTGGTGCATAGACATACGTAAGCGAAATACCCATATACACAAAAATAATAAAGAAAATACTCAAAAATACTTAAAAAAGAGTTTCCATACTAGCCCACATTCAGCTACTAACAATTTGTTAAATACAGTGGAATTCTTCTTATCCCATGTCCTGTGGCTTCATTTGCCTCTTGTTGCTTGTGGACTTTTCAGTTGTATATGACTTTTTTTATTTTTTGAGATTTCAGACTGGCTGGTTATACTACAACAGTGGTTTTCAACCTTTGAGGGTTGAACAGTTCTTTCACAGGGGTTGCCTAAGACCATCAGAAAACACAGATACTATATTATGATTCATAACAGTAACAAAAGTACAGTTATGAAGTAGCAACAAAAATAATGTTATCATTGCGGGTCTCCACAACATGAGGAACTTTGGTAAAGGATCACAGTATTAGGAAGGGTGAGAACCGCTGTTTGACAACCTCAGCTTTCTCGTGCATTCAAGAACAGTTATTATTTTGTAGATAAATATTTTTTTCTTACTGTAATAGGACTGATTTTATTTTCTAGTCTTTACATTCTGAACAGAAACTGAAATTCCTTTGTGATCAAAGGTATTATTGGATTTCTTACTGTTTTATTTAGGACACATTGCAAAGTGAAAAGTATAGTCACTAAACCTCTGTGTAACTATTACCTAATTAATTAGTTGCTAAATTTTTGCCAAATGTGCTTTATCACTGTTTTTCTCTACATTTACAAATTGTTACTACTGATGTGTTTGAGAGTAGATACTCAATGCCATGACTGCCTACCTCTGAATATATCAATCTTACTAAAATTTTAAAAATTAATTTTATTATTTTGAACCAGGGTCTGACTGTGTACCCGTGGCTAGTCTGGAACTCACTGTGTGGACCAGGCTGGCCTTGAACTCATAGAGATCTTCCTGCCTCTGCTTCCTGAGTGTGGAATTAAAGGCCTGTGCCACCATACCCAGCTAAACCTCATTATAAAAAAAATGTTAGTAATATGCTGTATATTAAAAATTATATACTGCCGGGCGGTGGTGGCGCATGCCTTGAATCCCAGCACTCGGGAGGCAGAGCCAGGCGGATCTCTGTGAGTTCAAGGCCAGCCTGGTCTACAGAGTGAGATCCAAGACAGGCACCAAAACTACACAGAGAAACCCTGTCTAAAAAAAAAAAAAATTATATACTGATCTTACAATATGTGTCAGTAATTTGTATTCATTAAATCTCTTTCTGTTTGCAGGTATCATTATTAGGATTGGAGATTTTAAGTGCCTTTGTGGATAGATTGTCGACACGATTTAAATCTTATGTACCAATGGGTAAGTTAACTTTAAGAGTCATTGTGGAGTTTGATGTAGTGACTTTTTCTTCGCGTTTTTGTTAAACAGAATTAGTTTCTATAAATTGAGAAAACATTTAGTTTGGGGACTGGAGTGATGACTCAGCGGTTAAAGCTCTTGTTCTTCAGCAGGTCTAAGTTAGATTCTCAGCACTCACAGCAGGCTGTTCCCAACCATTTCTAATTTTAGCTCCAGGAGATCTTCTGGACTTTGAAGGTACTTGTACACACACAGCATACACAGACATATAGACACATTAAATTAAAGTCAATTAAAAAAAATAATTTGAGCTGGGCAGTAGTGGTACATGCCTTTAATCCCAGCACTCAGGAGGCAGAGGCAGACGGATCTCTGAGTTTGAGGTCAGCCTGGTCTACAGAATGAGTTCCAGGACAGCCAGGGCTACACAGAGAAACCCTGTCTCTGTCTCTCTTCCTCTCTCTGTCTCTCTCTCTAATATATATATAATTTTTTTTCCCTCCTACAGCCCAGACTATGGCACTTTAGCATTTTAGTTTACTCAAAAAGAGAGAAAGCTTCTTAAATAGATAATTACAGTTCTGCAGAAAGCAAAAGCAACAAGACAACACAACCTTCTGGATACTGTTAATAAGTATTTATGTCATGTGCTCATCTTTTTTAGTGTATCTCATTTTTTGTAAAATGACAACATTTATAATATAACTTACATGCTGTGGATTTTTTTTTTTAATGTGTGTGTGTGTTTTTTTTATTGTTTTGAGTGGCCTTGGCAGGCCTGGAACTCACTTTGTAAACCAGGCTGGCCTCAAACTCACAGAGATCCTATTCCCTCTGCCTCTCAGGTGCTGGGATTAAAGGTCTGTACCACCATGCCAGCTACATTGCTATTTTTCACACTATCTATGGAGAAGTCTGTTCAGACCAATATTTTATGAAATATAATAACAGTGAGTTACAGCAAAATGAAAGGAATACAAAGCCTTGCTTTTGTCTTGTGTGATGTGGAGCCTGAGTCTTGCACACTAAGCACACAACATTAACCCTGAGCTGTACTCCAGTCCCATAAGTTCTTATTGTTAGGTTGAATAAAGTTCCTGTGGTTAGACTGCCCCCGAAGCCTCCATCAGTACTGTTTCTTTATCCCCGTTTGTTGGCTTTACTCTGAGCAGCAGTTAGATATGCTTGCTGCATGCTCATTGTGCTACTCGAAGCTGCTGCTCTCATAATACAGTGATGCAGGTGGCTTTGACTAAACACGTGTGATATTCCTGTGCATTTTAGAATGCTTTATGAATGAGTTTGGTTCTATTTTATAGCAACATAGAGAAATACAACCTTAAATTGTTAGTGGCTTTCTTTTGTGGTTTAAGTTAATGCTCACAATGTCAACATATTATTACACTACTTTCAAATATCTTTGATCAACTTTTTCATGTTGGGTATACCACCTAATTATGTCAATTTTTCTATTTTTTTTTTTCCGTCTTTTCTCAAATAGGTTTCTTGGTTTTTACTTTTAATCACTACTTGGCAGTTCCCACCCTTAGTGTTAATGGCTTCTGAAGAGAGATTTTTTTACTGTCTGTGTCCTGCTTAAAACTGATAGTAGATATTAAAAAACATGCTTTGAAAACATGTTTGTAGATGTACTTGAGTGCATACATGGGAATTTTAAAAATAAAGGTCCATACTTTGGACTTTGAGAAATTGGATGATAAGGTGTGCCTGATCTTATGTGTAAATATGAGTTGAAGTTGAATTACAGCTTCCTTTTGTCTGGGTCCATAGAGCTTTGCTTTGCTTTTTATTTTTATTTATTTATTTTTATTTATTTTGGTCTTTCTGCAGAGTTACTGTTAGTCAATATTGTTTTCACTTTGAAGACCCTTTGTAAAATTTGAACTTATTTCTTGTGAGCTTATGTGCTATGATGGAAAAACTTAATCTTAATTTGCTCCCATTTATTGGAAGCCTCCTTTAAAAGTATTGATTGTGTCTCTGGAAGAGTATTATTACATATTTCTGACTTGGAGAGTAGACAGTATGTCTGCATGTTCTTCAAGAACTGGTGTACCTCAAATTTGCCTCCTTTCTTTCTTTTTTTTTTTCTTTTTTTTTTTTTTTTTTGGTTTTTTGAGACAGAGTTTCTCTGTGTAGCTTTGCACTTTTCCTGGAACTTGCTTTGGAGACCAGGCTGGCCTCGAACTCACAGAGATCCGCCTGGCTCTGCCTCCTGAGTGCTGGGGTTATAGGCATGCGTCATCCCCACCCCACCTCACCCCACCCCCACCCTCCCGGCTCAAATTGGCTTTCTTGTTTAATCCTATCACAGGTCTTAAACAGACTACCTAATTCTGTATAGGGCCAATACAATGGCTTAGTAGATAAAAGTGTTTGTCAACAGTCTGATGACCTGAGTTCCATTCCCAGAGCCCACATGGTATAAAGAACTAACTACTGCAGATTGTCCTCTCACCTCCATGCACATGCCATGGCATATGTGTCCCCCAAACAAAATAAAAAGCAAATATAAAACACTTTTAAAAGAGTCTTTATAAAAGGAAAGGATCAAATTAAATCATGACCTAATGGTTCTTTAAACCTCCCAGATCCTCCCAACTCCTCGACCTTTCTTTCTCCCTCTTGTGAAAGTAAACAACAAAACAGAAAAACTCCAGAGAAGAACTATAACAAACACACACATAAAACCCATCATAGACAAGTAAAAAACCAAGACAAAAAATGCCCAAACACAGCAATATGAGATAGAAAGTCTACAAAAACACCATTGAATTCATTTTGTGTTGGCCATCTACTGCTGGGCATGGGGCCTACCCTTAAGTGTGCATAATATCCCAGTGAGAGTCCCTTGCAAAAAACCAGTTTTTCCTTTGCCAGCTGGTGTCAGTTGCAGATAGCTTCTTGGTTAGGGGTAGGAGCCTATCCACTTTCCTTTCTCAGTGCTGCTGTCCCGTGTAGTCCTGTGCGTGCTGCAACATCTGTGGATTCATGTGTACATCAGTCCTTTGTACATTAAAAGTAAAAATGTGTTCTTGAAACATTGGGAGTACTGTTCCATTTCATCTCTAGTTCCAAAAAGAGATTTGCACATAGCTCGGTAATTAGAGCGTTAGATACGGTTCTGAAGAGAGTATGGACTCAGTGTCTTGCTTCATAAGTGATCTGTTCACACTGAGGCTGATCACTAACTCTGGTTTATGGTAACCAAGTTTAATAAAGTTTGTAGTATAAAAATTTAGCAGATAGTCTAAACCCTAAATGGTGCAATATGGTGCCAGAGTCTTTAGGACACTCAGTTCTAAGCTTTATGTCTTGTAGAGTAATTTTACATTTTACAATACCAATAGAATGAAAACTACTAACACCTAGACCACACGAGAAAAGGAAGAAACAAAATGCTAAAGAGGCCCACAGAAATCCACAAAGATACCCCACAACAGACTGCTGGCAGTGGTCGAGAGACAGCCGGGACTGACCTCCTCTGGTGATGGGATGGCCAAACACCCTAATAGTTGTGCCAGAAACCCCATCCAAGGACTGAGGAATCTGGATGCAGAGATCCACAGCTAGGCCCCGGGTGGAGTGCTGGGAGTCTAATTAGTGAGAAAGAGGAGGGTTTATATGAGTGAGAATTGTTGAAACCAAGGTTGGATAAAGCACAGGGACAAATAGCCAAACGAATGGAAACACATGAACTATGAACCAAAGGCTGAGGGGCCCCCAACTGGATCAGGCCCTCTGAATAGGTGAGACAGTTGATTGGCTTGATCTGTTGGGGAGGCATCTAGGCAATGGTACCAGGTCCTGGGCTCATTGCATGGCTTTTTATATTAATTAATTTTTTTTTTGTCTCTTTGAAGCCTACGTATATTTTACACACATTGTAAACGATTTTATCTGAATCAGTCTTTTTGTGAGCCTATTGCTTTAAACTGTAGCCTTCTAAGCCTGAAATGGCACTGTGGCTGCTGGCTCCACCCCCTTCAGCTTTTCAACATGGCGGTGGTACGTTTTCTCCAACTCTGGGAGTCATCAAGTCTCAGAAATAGTAGGTCTATGCTTTTATCAAAGCAGCGTGTAGCCCAGAAACCTCTTTTTTTTTTTTTTTTAAATACTAGTAAAGACTAAATCTACCACACAGCGTAATGTGCCGCTGGCAGACGCCTCATTTCCGCCATGGTGGTGAAACGCACATGCCAGGAACCCGCCAGTGTTCAAACCCGCGTTTTGAGCCGTCTAGCTGCCCGTATGAGACATGAAGCAGGAACCTGTTTTTGGCTCTGTTTAGAATTGGTTATTAAATATTTTCAGGTTTAAGGTGGAAACTTGAGCTGTTGGGCGCCATTTGTAGCTGGAGGGCTTCTCTCCAGGTTCCACCAAGCCCCGCAGTCCCACAATCCAAAGATAAAATAATCACTCAGACGCTTATATTACTTATAAACTGTATGGCCGTGGCAGGCTTCTTGCTAACTGTTCTTATATCTTAAATTAACCCATTTCTATAAATCTATACCTCGCCACGTGGCTTGTGGCTTACCGGCATCTTTACATGCTGCTTGTCCTGGCGGTGGCTGCAGTGTCTCTCCTGCTTCTTCCTGTTTCCCCAATTCTCCTCTCTCCTTGTCCCGCCTATACTTCCTGCCTGGTCACTGGCCATCAGTGTTTTATTTATATAGAGTGATATCCACAGCACTAGCACAGAGAAGGGAGCAGGAGGAGAACAGGTCTGGGAAGGAGCCTCACTCGGGAAAAGAATACTTATTTCATTGCCTCAGGGAGGAGGCAGAAGCTCCAAACTGGAGTCTGGGAAGGGTGGAGCAGTCAGGTTGGTTGTAGTTCCATCTTATCTAGGTCATTATCCCTCATTATTCCTGGACAATATTTGATAACCATTCCTTTGTATATAGTCTTGTACTAGTTTAGAACCTTCTTATTTAGACAAAAAGGGGGAGATGTAGTGGGTAGCCATTCCAGCTTGGATCTGGAAATTCCAACCCCCATTGAGACTCTGGCAACTGTCACGCCTACGAGGCGGGGCCAAGGGAGGCGTCTGGAGACCCGAGACCTGGATGGGGAGTGCTCTCTTTGTTCCTGGACCCTAGACGGTGGAGGTTGACTGAGCAGAGCTCCAGAGAACACCGCTGGACTGCGATACACCTTCCCCAGACCCCCCCACAATCTACCTATCCCTTCATTTGTAAGTCACCCACTAAATAAATCTTCCTTTTAACTACGTGGAGTGGCCTTAATAATTTCACCAATAGTTTTGGTTTGTTTTTAGATAAGAGTTCGCTCTGTAGACTGGAACTTCCCATGTTCCCCAGACTGGCCTCATCCCAGTTTTGTCTTGAACTCACTATGTAACCTGGGCTGCCTTGAACTTGGGATCTTGCTGCCTCCACTTCCCCAACACCTAGTATTGAGATACAGGTATATGCCATCAAATTTTACATGTGGCCTAAAATACTTTTTAGTATTAAAATGAGCCCCTATTGGGTCCAATATCTGAATTTCTTTTGTAGTTAAATTCTACCTCTCAGGAACAGAGTGTCTTTTTCCTTGTTACTATTTTATGGATGCCAACACACACACACACACACACACACACACACACACACACACACACACACACACACACACAAACCCAGAGTCCCAACTACTAAATTATAAGTAAACACTGGTTTTACTACCTAATAGTATTGTAATCTAATAGTATTGTTATAAGGATTAAATGAGGTAATTTATTTTTTACTATTATGTTCTGTGATTTAGAAGAAACAGAGATTCCCATAATAGCCAGTCTAACAGATATTGAATGATTCCTGTTAATACTACATCTAAACAAACAGAAGAAAAGATTTTCATTGTGCTCGCTGACTCATGTGGTGGTGCTTATTTGTTAAAATGGTGCTGGGGTAGAACCCAGGGTCTTGTACTGTCCAGCAAGCACTAGACTACGGAGCCATATTTCTATTCATGAACAGTACTTATATTGGTTTATGATTGAATACATTTATTATTACTATTTTATTTTATATATGGATCTTTTGCCTGAATGAATGTCTGCATATGTGATACCTATGGAAGCCAGAAGAAGGCATTGGATCTCTTGGAGCTGGAGTTCTGAATGGTTTTGAGCTGCCATGTGAGTGCTGGGGATCGAACCCAGGTCCTCCGGAAGAGCAGCCAGTGCTCTTAACCACTGAGCCATCTCTGCAGCCCCATGTTTGTGATTTTAATTGTGAGGGCTGATTTTTGTTTTATTGTGGCATGTTCTCTCTATAATCCAGGTTGGCCTGGAACTCTCCCCTCTGCTGCCTGAGAGCCTCCCCGTTTCTGGGATTAAAGCATGTGCTTCCTTTCATACCAGGATTGAAGGCTTCCCCACCCCCACCCCCGCCCCCACCCCCGCCCCTTGATTACACTGTAATCTGTAAGTAAACTAGATAAGTGTATCTCTCTTTTAATTTCATTTCTTCTACTTCTCCTTTAAAACCTAGACTTAGGCCTATGTTTTTGTTTCTGTTTGTTAGTTGTGAAATGTGTCCAACAAGAATGCATAACATGCAATTTAAAGAATAATTATAAAACTAACCCTTGACTATGCCTGGGTTCAGAAACTTAAGTCTGCCAGGTCTTTGAAGTATCCCTGTCTATGCTTCTTTCACACTACCAGAGGTCTCCCCTGTCATAACCTGGAGGGAAGTATTTATTTGCTTGTCTATGGATCTTGACCACATACATACCTCCAAATAGAACAATATTGTTTGTCTGGTTTTGAGCACTGTCCTAAGTGGATATGACTGTACGTACTACATTGAAATTTGTTGATTGTTTTCACTTGAACTCATGACTAAGGAACTTAATTTATGGAAACAGTGGCTATTTGTAGGTTTGTCAAGTATGGTTTGTGGTGACATTGAAAATACTTACTCTTCCCCCTTTAGTTACCACAGCTTTAATAGACAGAATGGGAGATGCCAAAGACAAAATTCGAGACGAAGCTCAGAACCTAGTGCTGAAGCTGATGGATGAGGTGGCACCACCTATGGTAGGTTTGCACTGAGTGAAAACTTATAATTCGGTAACCCAGCAAACTAATAAACAGTCAAGAAGCAGGAGTGGTAGAGTATAAATAGTGGATTATTGCTAATGTTTTAAAGAAGTTCAAATTGAAGGTACAGTGCCAATAGGTAAGTTTGTTTCTTTTCATTTAAGTTTTCTGTTTTTCAGTTACTTGTGTTTAAAAAAAAACAAAACACAAGTGATTTGACAGTGATCTGGTTGTAGTTATGCTTCACCATTTTCTGGTTTTTCTCACCTGCAAATTATAAGATACTGAAAAATCGTATTTTTGAAAACTAATGAATATTATATTAATTTCTGTATCTTTCAGAAACAAGACATTCTTTTATTTTCATAAGTGGCTATTGATTATGTCAAGCATGTTTTATGTTTTTTTATCTTGGTCGGTCCCCCCCTCCCTCCCCCGCGCCCCAGACAGGGTTTCTCTATGTCCTGGCTGTCCTGGATCTCGCTCTGTAGACCAGGCTGGCTTCAAACTCAAAGAGATCTGCCTGCCTGTCTCCCTAGTGCTAGGATTATAGGCGTGCACTACCACTACCCAGTGTAAAGCATGCTTTATGACAACTTGTGTTTTACGAATATAGTAGAAATAATTTGCCCTTAAAGAATGTGTTGATCGCAGGGTACATAGCAGTCTGTAAGAGAATGTTAGTTTGAGTTCTAGAAGCCTTTTTTTTCTCATTCCTTTCAATTTTTTTTTTTTTTAAGTTGAGCGTGTGGCATATGTTTATAATTCCAGTAATGGGAGGTAGAGACAGGCAGATCCCTGGGGCTTGTTGGCCAGAGAATCTACCTTAGCTTGCTTTGGCATGTTTTAGACCAATGAGAGACTTGTGACAAACAAAACAAAACAAAAAAAAAGGTAGATAGCACCCAAGGAACAATATCCAAGGTGGTCCTCTGACTTGTTTACGTGTACAAATACTTATGTACCTGTACTCACATTTACCCACACCCATGAACACACATGCACATGTATATATGCTCATGTACTAGTAATGTATTGGTCTGTTTTATGTTGTTATAACAAAATGTCTGAGGCTAGACACCTGTAACAAAAAAGATGTATTTAGGGGGCTGGAGAGATAGCTCAGCAGTTAAGAGCACTGGCTGTTCTTCTAGAGGTCTTGAGTTTAATTCCCAGCAACCACGTGGTGGCTTACAACCATCTGTAATAAGATCTGGTACTCTCTTCTAGCCTGCAGGCAAACATGTAGACAGAACACTGTATACATTAAAAAAAAAATGTATTTAGCTCATAGCTTTGGAGGTTATAGTTTTGTGGGCATACATTCTGTTGTTTGTCTTTGCTCTTTTGGGGGACCCGCCACCCAGCTCCCAAATAAATCACAAATAGAGGCTTATTCTTAATTATAAATGTCTGGCCTTAGCTTGGCTTGTTTCTAGCCAGCTTTCCTTAACTTTAATTATCCCTATCTACCTTTTGCCTTTGGACTTTTTCCATTCTCTTCTGTAAATCTTACTCTGTGGCTGGCTGTGTAGCTGAGTGGCTGGCCCCTGGGTCCTCCTCCTTCTCTGGCTCCTCCTCCCAGATTTATTCTTCTATATATTCTTTCTGCCTGCCAACCCTCCTTATCTTTTCTCCTGCCTTGCTATTGGCTGTTCAGTTCTTTATTAGACCATCAGGTGTTTTAGACAGACGTATCACAGCTTCACAGAGTTAAACCAGTGTAACCTAAACAAAAGTAACTCACCTTAAAATAATACTTTACCACTAGCTCCAGCTGTGATATGGGGTCTACCTAGGTATATCACCTCATGGGAGGTGGCAGTGTGATGGCAGAAATGTTAGTATGCTTATGAGAAACTAAGAGCCAAGATTTTTTTTTTTTTTGAGCAATTCACTGTGTTTTGTGTTTTCTGTTTTTGTTTTAGTTTTTTTCAAGACAGGGTTTCTTTGTGTAGTTTTGGTGCCTGTCCTGGACCTCACTCTGTAGACCAGGCTGACCCGAACTCACAGAGCTCCACTTGACTCCAAGTGCTGGGATTAAAGGCATGCCTCACCACTGCCCAGCTCACTATGTTTTTTTTTTTTTTTTTTTTT